GGCAGCCCTTTTGGGAAAATCTAAAAAGCAAGGCAGAACTGGAGCTGGATAAAGCAGGAACAAGCGTCCTTATATAAGCAGCTGTACTTCCTATTAGGAGTAGATGGATGTGCCGGTGATGGAAGAGTCAAAGAGGAGATATAGGGAAACTAATACTCACATTCTTACTAACTCAGTGCAGCACTCTAACCTGTCCCTTTTTCATTTAGGTAGCTATGAAAAAAGGAGCCATAGTCTGAGAGGTCAAGTTAAAACAAGAAGCCCCAGCATCTAACTTCTCCAAACAATCTGTGGAGTTAATTGATAATAAGTAGAAGTTGCAGAGAGAAGAGGAGTTAATAAAACAGTAGGGCTGCTCAAAAGCACAATGTTTATTTATAAAAGAAAGCAAGGAAACGCATCAAATAAAACTGGCAAATGGTCTGAAAACACAGCATCTCAAACTTTAAATTAAAAACAGATAAAATAAGATCAATAGTGCAACAATTTTCTTAATCAGAACCGCACACAACCTCTGTAAATTATCTAGCAATTTGTTTTAAATTTGGGACCAATATGTACCATATAGAAATATGGTAAATCACTCAGATGAAAACATTTCATGATTATTTCGATTATTGAGTTTTGATTAAATAAAAAGCTTCACATCGCCTGTTGGAGGGTTTTATGAAAAAAAAAAATCATTTAAAAAAAGAAATTGCTTCCATAAAGAACCATTTTACCTAATTGCCACTATAGGATTTCCTGACTGAATTGCAGCTAAAGAGAAATAGTCACACAAAACTTGTTTGAAGAAAATGTCATGAAACAGCAGTTTATAATCTACAGGGGCAACGCCAGGAATTTGGGGCCCCATGAAAGAAATATCTTAGCCTGGGTGCCATTCCGAACTTAGTCTCGCCCACAAGGTTTGAGGTCGGAAAGTTCGGTCTGGCATTGCTCCATAGTAGCGCGAGTATGATCGCCCACTCTCTGGCTTTATACGATGATGGACAGATGATCAACAGCAACGTAATCAACCATGTGACCAAAGCGCGCTTGGGTGACAACAACAATGGCTGCCGCCGGAGAGTTGAGGTGAGTAGATTCTGCTATTAGGTCTGTTCTAGAAGATATCGACAGCAAATTAATTTTAAAAGAGGAACAGAGAAATGCCATCA